CGTGTCGCTCTTGGTACTCTGACATGTCGAACCGAATCATAGACTTGGGATCATCGAAAAGGAACTCGGCAAGAGCCTTGGTGAGCAATGTCTTACCGGTACCAGAGGGACCGCAGAAGAGGAAGCTGGGAGGTTGGTTTGGATTGGCAAGTCCAGATCGTTGCAAACGAATGGCGTTGGCAACAGAATTGACTGCCTCCTTTTGGCCAACGACGACTTTCCCAAGGACCTTCTCCATGTTGATCAGCTTCTCCTTCTCGGAAGTGCGAAGTCGAGTGACAGGGATGCCGGTCCAACGAGCCACAATCTCGTTGATGTGATCGGCAGTGACAATGTCTGTGACCATGGCCGTTGCAGCTTCGCCGCCGGCAGCATTTAGAGCAGCATCTGCGGCAGCCTTGCGAGCTTCGAGCTCTTTGATGGTCGTTTGTTGCTCAGGAATAGCACCGTACTTGATATCAGCAGCCTTTGCATTATCTCCTATGTTCATGGCATCCTCCAACCGCTTCTCCAATTCATCGAGCTTCAGCTTAGCCTGATGGATCTCCTCGCCTCGCTTGATTTCGTTTTGGTACTTTTCTCGTAGAGGCTCCAACTCCTCCTCAACGTTCTTGGCATCCTTCTTGGCCTGCTGAAGACGAATCTGAGATGCTTCGTCCTTTTCCTTCTCCAATGCCGCAATCTCAATCATGAGCTGCCTGAGCTTGCGCTCAAGGGAGTCGATAATTTCTGGCTGGGACTCGCGAGCGACGCGGACCGCGGCGGCAGCTTCATCGACGAGATCGATGGCGGAGTCAGGCATTCTTCTGGAAGTGAGGTATCGAGCTGCAAGGTTGGCGGCAGCAACAAGAGCGCTGTCAAGGATTGTAACACGGTGGTGTCTGTCGTATCTTTCCTTCAGGCCTCGCAAGATTGATATCGTTTCGGGAATGGTAGGCTCCTTGACCATAACTTGCTGGAATCGTCGCTCAAAAGCAGCATCCTTCTCGACATATTTTCGGTACTCGGCCAAAGTAGTGGCACCAATACAGTGAAGCTGTCCTCTGGCAAGCATGGGCTTGAGCAAGTTGGCAGCATCCATGCCTCCTTCACCAGAAGAACCGGCGCCCATGAGCAGGTGGATTTCGTCGACAAAGAGTACAATCATCTCTTTAGAGTCCTCGATTTCTTTCAAGACTCCCTTCATTCGCTCCTCGAATTCACCACGGAACTTACTACCCGCAACAAGCGCGCCGACATCTAGAGACAATAGTTTACAGTGCTTCAGGTTGTCAGGCACATCTCGGTTGACTATTCGCTGGGCAAGCCCCTCGACAACAGTAGTCTTACCAACACCAGGCTCTCCGATGAGAACAGGGTTGTTCTTTGTGCGTCGAGATAAGATTCGAACCACTCGTCGAATCTCCTCTTCACGCCCAATGACGGGATCGATTTTCTTGTCTCTGGCCATGGCAGTCATGTCGATGGTGAATTTGGCCAAATTCTCGTTTTCTTGTTCAGTGTCAGCGGTCTTGCTGTCCACTCGCTTGGTGCCTCGAATGGCTTGGACAGCATCTTGAACCAGCTTGGGCTTGGGAATGCTGGCCTCTTTCAATGGCGCCTGCATTGAGGGATCGTCGGCCAGGGCAGTGATGAGATGGTCAACGCCAATATATGAGTCTTTTTGGACCTTTTGCAACTCCATGGCTTTCCTTAAGACGGCATGGAAGGAGGGAGCCAAGGAAACCTGCTCTGGCGGAGGATCTTGACTCGGAAGTCGAACGAGAGTCTTCTTCAGGGCCCGATCGAATAGTTGAGGGTCACCGTGAGCCTTCTCGATGACTTGTCGAAAAAGGGTGATTATGCTGTTTTGGGGTGCATTTTGTTGATCCTTTGAGAGGTCGACTGGTGGTTCCAGTAATGAGACGGCAAGATGGACTGGGAGAAGCTGTGAATGTCCATACTGCTCGGCCAGGCTCATGGCGTCTTCGACAGCCTTTTGAGCGCGGTCCGTAAAATCCATTCGGGAAGTCATTGTAGGTCGTGTATGTGTAAACGGTGTATGGTGGTAACAGTTATTGTGCGGGGTGTGTTGGTCTTTCCAGAGAAGCTCGGTTCAAAGAATGTGAGGCTTCTTGTTCACAGTGACGCATAAAAGTTGGGCGCCAGGTAGTGTCTGGTGGGCCAAGGGTATCAGCCTTCAGGGTGATGTGTTTGATGTACGAAGGGAAAAAATGAAGGAGGAGAATTTAACTTCAATAGCCACAAGGGAGGAAATATATCTTCGAGGATGCGGTGGATACACTCGCCCATTGTGCGGAAGAAGGAAGAGCTCTTTGTTGCGGGAGATGAGCCTAGCAACAGCTGGAAGCTGCTCGGATGGCCTGGAAAGCTACCCAGAAGCCACCAGAAGCTTGGAGAGGCTGCGTGATGTCACTCGAAACCTGGTTTTTAGTGCTCCATAGGCGGGGTGCCGTCCCTCTCATTGGACAGTGCCATCTTATCATGACCTGATGGCCCGCTGAAACACCCAACCGTTACGCAGTAAGGGCCCCATGCTTCCCGACCACTTTTTCCGGCTTCCAAGGTCACATGACTGCGCGCAAGTAGGCGTCGATTTTCAAGCTTGGCCTTGGGTGCCCGATTGTATAGACGCCATCTCGAAGCCCGATTTCAACGACCCCCGACCACAATGAATACGACATCACGGCCCCGGCTTGGCCAATGGTCAAGTATAGTGCGCACATGTCTGCGGCAAGTGCACACAGGTCGAGGGAAGGGCTCCCAGGGCCCGGAAGGCCACGGAGAAAAGATCTGGGTTTTTCGACACCGGAGATCCGACCAAATAATCTACTCTTTTGACGAGAGGCTGGACGTATGCCATTCAATCCAGCATTTCCATTCCTACAAAGGAGTCTATTAATTCATCGATACTGACAATTTCGGCGCAGGGGTTCCACGCACTGAAGCAGCTGCCCTTCAACGGCAAAAAGACAAAGCCAGCAAAGCTCCGGAAGGACTACTGGTCGCCCATGGCTTTGATTCAATTCCCCGAGGGCCAGGGGGCTGTCGGACGTTCCGTCTACCAAAAGCTACGCGAATTGAAGCACCTGCACGAGGTGTCCTGGACTGACGAGTTTCGATACAAGTCGCCCCAGGAGTTTACTGCCGCAGACAAGAAGAAAATTGCACAGGAAAAGGCCTCGGGGAATGGTTACAAGCCTGTGCGAAGCAAGGCCGAAAGGGGTATTGCGCTGAATGCGCAAAAGACGAATTCAATTGCTGACATGGCGGCTGTTTTGGCTGGTCATGGAAACGGAAACGAAATTGCTGTTGCGAACACGGCTACGGACGGTCAGCCTGATCCGATTCAGGTTTCTATTAGGTGGGCGAATGATCAGGATAAGGAGTACGCGGAGGCATGGTCTAAGAATGTCACGCATGCGCTACTTGACGAACCGGCCTACACTTCTGGGAAGGAAGCGGAGTCTACGGCCTAGAGAGGTCTACGTCTACACTACGGGTTAAAGCGGAATCTAAGACGTCCATGTGCGGGAGAAAGTAGTGCCCAACTTTCGTTGAGACAAGGGAAAAGAAAATATAGTCGTCAGAGCGACCTGAAATGAACAAAGAGCCGGTGTCTAGGCTCGGGACGGTGTCCGACTCCAACAGCCCTACGCTGCTGGAATCTAATTGTACGAACAGATAGAGGCTACTGGCCATCCATGTACCATATGTAAAATCAAGCTCTGCCAGGGCATATACCAGAAACAACTTGCATCCTGGTGTTTTCATGACTCTTTCGTTTCCTTCCTTTGCGCCTTACATCCAGCTGGCGCTTATACTTTGATGCAATACTGTTTGAGGTACTCATAAAAGGGAATATTAGCATCAACAGTCTCGCGGATGATCTTCTGGGCCTCCTTGCCGTATTTGGCTTCCCAGTCTTGATTTTCGGCCTCAACAGTGAGTGTTTTCTAAGCATAGTTAGCCTAATGGACCAAATATCATTCCCTGGTCCCTTTTTTGTGTTACATCGTAACGTACCTGGGCGTGGGTTCTGCCCTTGAGTTCCCTGTTACTGAGGGCATCATCATGAAAGCCATTCCACTTCGCAAACAGCTTCTTAGCATGCTCCTGATCAGCATCGTTCCACTTCAGCATGCCTGGGTCAAACGCGAGACCCGTTCTCTCGCAGTACTTGCGGATCATGGCTTCAGGGTTATCAAGCAGGTCGTCCGCATCAACAACTGTCAACCGGTCCTTGTCAACGAGACCCCTTTCGATGGCCCAGTCTAAAAATTTGACAAGCTCTTCGTATCCCATCTCGCTGGGCAAGAAGTAATCAAAACCACTGACTTCTCTCAGCGGCGGGATACAGCATCGCCAGTAGGAGGGAACAGAGCGACGGGGATGTCGAATGAGAAATGTGAAGTGAAACTGTTTGAGCATATCAAAAGGAATAACGGTTGGGTTATTTGGTTCTTCGCCGCCGCCGAGAGACGCTGCGATTTGGGCCTTCTCGCCGGGGGCGGGGAAGAGATAGTAGGCCATGTCCTTGATGAAGACGCGTTTGCCCTGGATGACAATGGTAAGCATCAATCCCAGGAAATTGTGTTCGAAGATCGGTTGCGTAACGGCAAGTCTAAATTCGCCCATTGCGAAATCATCAAAGGTCCAACCAACAACAATCTTGTCAAATCTTGCAATATGCAAGATTCGTACAGATAGGGAAAAATCATCTTCCCTGGTTGGGACTAGGCTATTGATGCAAGTTCGGACTGAGGTGAACAGATATAGAAATGCACTACTACGTTCCGTTCCTGCACGTAACACAAAGTATGGGCTTGTTGTAGTACATCCAAGGCTGAAATTGCAGACCCAGATTAACCCGATCGGAAACGGAACTCCTGAGAAGTCTCCACCTCACTTGAGGTATTAACTCGTAACAACTCTCTGTGGATGGCATCATGGCCAGACCAAGCATTGCGCGAGTGGTAGGGCGTGCTTGTTTTTTACATTCAGGCTCCGCCACCCACAACAATAAAATCAGAAACACCGGCGGAAGAACACAGATTTGCACATGAGAGAAAGCGAACCTGTCTTGCCACCTCGTCAAATCCTTCTAGTACGCTCTTGAACGTGGCATCCGATACACCACTTTCTTCGCGGCGAGCAGGGTCGTCCTTGAAGCGCTCACTGACGCATTCTGGGCCGAAGTAGTATGCGTCTCCAAATGGTTCATGCTGGCTAGCCAGTTCGTCTCTACGGGTCATGAAGACCTAGAATCATGTTATTAAAAAAGATGCGACAATGCGGAGGGGAATTTTTCATCTTGGCACTCTCGGCCGTCGACAGGAGCTGTCTGAAGAGCACAGCTTCGATTACCTACACGTTCAAAAGCCGTGGAGCAGGCTCGCGGGTGTGTAATGGTGAAAATTGGTCGAGGTGCCATACTGCGTTTTGTAGGTTGGTGCCGTCTTTGAAAATACTGAGTGTGAATACAACACGGTGCAAAAGAGGAAGCGAGAGAGGAATTTCTTTGGGGCGCAGTGTCGGGGGATGCTAAGTTCTTAAGAAAACGGCCGTGACCAACTTTGGGCAAGACGAGCTGAACTGGGTTCGCAAAGTTGGTACCGGGCCGTCGCTGCAAACTTTGCGCACTGCCCAAGTATCAAAACGTCGTGACGCAAAGAAGATCATCAAATACTGGATCTTCAAGCCACATCCATGTGTTGGAGGAGGGGCGTGTTAATGTCAATGGCTAAAAACGATGAACCGATCCAGCGAGGCTCCATGCAAGGCCGCCCCATCTGGGAGGTCGAGGCTCTGGGATGGAGGGGCGCGTCGGCTCGTCAGTGGCTCGGCAGACACATTGGCGGGCAGCCCTGAAGCACTTATCAGGCACTTGGTACAGAAGTCCTTGGGTTGAGCCGAATCTTGACCCTTTTGCGTTGTTGTATTGAGTACGAAATGGGTGTTCAAATCGACTTGGGCCACGCGGTGCCTGTCGATTGGTCCTTCCCATCTATTCTAGATCGAGTGCACCTGCCATCTTCCAGTATCACCCGAAAAAATGTGTCTGGCACCTGCTCATCTATGTATGTACGTACAAATGCATGTCTATGCTCCACACGTGTCGATAAGCAAGGTTTCCCGCCCGCGGACGGGAAGGAACACCCCGACGGATTCCGCAACCTTGCTTAAAAAATGCGCACGCACTCGGCCTGCTGCTGCGTTATGCATGAACAACCAGACGCTTGGGAGAGGCCAGATACAATATGCCATTACAAGCTGGTCTGACGGTTTTGCTCCTGTTGTAAATGCATATCTCTCAAATCTCCGAACGCAATCAAGTATGCAAACTCTGCCCATCCCATGTGGAGCAGGGTCCAGTCTGCGATCACTGCTTCCCCACATCGTCTGGCCCCAGTAGTCGCAAGGTTTCGGAAGTCGGAGGGGCTGTACTGAAATCTCGCACAATGGCCGACGACCCGATCCATCCGCTCGATCGTGAAGACGACCGGAATAGATCGGTTTGGCGTAGCGCCCGGGAGTCTACTTCCGCTGGTAGCGGAGATCTGGGATACCTAGGATGCATCATTCCCACTTGGCACTGACTCTAGACTTTGGCAACATCAAAATCACGAGCGTTAGAAATTGGGTGGTCAACGAGGGCATGGTGAAGAGCATCAAATTCACTTTTCGAGTCTATCGTAGCGGCGTGTCTACGTACCGTCGCGTCTCTATCCGTCTATCCGTCTATCCATCCGCCCATAGCAAGTCCTAAGCCCCGAGGGTAGCAAATACGCAGTGTATCAACTCCAAGTGGATCCAAATGTCCTTGTAATGTTTACCGCCCAGAATGAATTTCCATGCCGCCCTTGAACATCTCCAGAAGCCGGTGAGTATATATAGACCAATCACATGCAACTCGCGGACTCATTGTGCCCTCCCAAAACGTCCCTGTCTTTGTCCAGATGCTCCACTAATGCCAAGCTTAGTTGCTTTCTCCAAACCTTGTTAACCTCACTCCAGAAATACGCCAAGCCAAATCAAGGCTATCCGAACTGTCAATCGCAAAGCCGTTCTTTTTTTATCAACTTGTTTGTCAACATTCTGAATGACTTTGGTCCTATTGTGCGTTAGTTGTCGCCTCGTCCTCAGGATTTCGGTTATCCTTGCAGGACGGCGCTAACACCGCCTTCATATACCTTTTGCGTTCGGATTAAACTTGTCCCAACCCCTGAGTTCATACAAGCATCCGTCAAGTATGTTGAGTTTTTCCCTCAATCTGGACCGCTCTAGCTTTGTCGCAGGGTCTTCTTCAGCAAGATGCTGTATTTCTGTGTCGCTCATCTTATAAATATCTCGGGGTTCAAAAAGGCTTCGTAGTTTTTGAATCAGGCAGCATTCTACTCCTAGGGTGCTGATGTCGTCAATAAACTTCTTCAGTGACACCTAAACAATTGTCAGTCGTGAAGTTTGTCAAAATCGAATACGTAAAGACACCTACGTTGTAGTAGGCTTGCAGGTAATCCACAGCCAAGGAACTACCATACAACTTCATATTCACGTCTTCCTCAGCTGTGAAGATCTCCAAGATGGCTTGTCGGGTCACCGTCAGTCTTTGGGCTCCATACATCTCAATAGGATATGCCTTGGTAAGCCTAGCCTCTACCTTGCGACGACGTCTTTCGGCCTGCGCTTTTTGAACATTCTCCGTGAGCGCTTCGTTGTATGTAATTGGATGTATTTTCTGATACGGTTTAAGCAAACTCAGGAAAGATGCTTCCAGCTCTTGGGCCAGGACTTGAATGGCTGGTCTGATGAACCGTCCCAGTTTTGCGGCCGTGGACTCAACTGTGACATGGGCGATGATTTCGTGAGCGACGCGTTTGACTGACTCTAAAACTTTCTTGAAAAGAATTTCGGTAATATCCTCCCATGGCTTGCACTGTTCAAAAAACAGGTCACCCACAATGAGTGGATTAAAGGTTCCAGGCAGCTCACAGCCACGGTTTCGATTCATGAGTTCCCCGACTTCCTCGACATAGGCTGATCTAAGCACTTTGTTCCCACTCAAAGTCATGTCTTCGTCGTCTGACTCATCGTCAGAGTCGACTATATGTCTAGTGCAACCGAATTCGTTCATGTTATCTTTAAAATCGATCAATAATCCTTGAACAACAGCTCGAAGTCGTTTCTGGTAACCTTCCTCAGACTTTGAGCTACCGAAAAATGGATCGTTATAAAATCCATCGACTGCTGCTTTCATCAGATCAGAAAATGCCTGGCTAATATGAACAAGATATTGGCGTTGTTCGAATATATTCTCTCGTGCCGATCCAAGTCTCACGAGCTGACTTTTGCATTTCCTGATGCCAGTCTCGACATCCTTGACCAAGTTTGGCAGTTGAAGAAGTATTTCGTCTTTGAGAAGATGGCTTAGGCGCGGCTTTAGTGCTTTGACGCCAACAATAGATGGATCAAGCGCTGCCCAAGGGCCATTGGAAAAAAATTCTCTCTCCGCATCGTCGCGCTCCTGTGAAGTTGCCTTGTTCAACGTCATCTTGTAATCACGGTTCTTCAACACATGCCAGCCCAGTTTAAATCGCACATCTTCGTTTTGGGCGAGACGAATATACGCCGCTTCGCTCTCTGAGCCTTCGTCTAATGTATCCGGTTTAGTAATGAGGCCAACAGTGCGACGTCCCTCCGGATCCAACCTTCGAGCAAGTCGAGTAACCTGCTGCAACGCAAAGTCACTCTTGGCAGAAACAACCGCAAGAATAATGCTTCTTGGTCGTTCCATATATCGAAGCGCAATGTTAGTCACGGTTTCGGAGTCTTCGTCGGATTGCACGCTGTTGCCGGCCTGAAAAAGCCCTGGAAGGTCGACCATTGTTAAATGAGGCTGGCTGGGCCCAGATATCTCAACTCGCAAGATATCATTTCGGAAAGCTTTAGAGGTTGGGGTTATGCCCATAACCAACTTGGCTTGTTCAACCACATGTGACAACTCCAGGCTGCCTTGTTCCACCACCGGGCGGAATCGTTTCAGTTTTTCTTGCTCGGCCATCGGTCGACATGCTGCTGGGAGAATTGATATCTTCACGCCGACACTTGAAGATCGCCTAAGGATAAGCTCAGTGGCAAACCGAGTGCACAGGTTGTCCTTGGTAGGAAAAGACATGCCAGAAATGGCTTCCAGGACTGAGCTCTTCCCTGCAGATTGATCCCCTGTAACAACGATCTCAGGAAGCGCGACATACTGATTGATGCCTTTTGAACGAAGCTTATCAATCAAATCTAGAAGATCCCTGTGCTCCCTAGACTCTAAATCAACAACAGCCATTTTTGTAAAGATGACAAAGCCAAATAGAGCTGATGCCTGTTGATCTTGATAGCGAAGAAATGACAATTCCCCAGAGGAATGTGCACCAACCGGGGAAGTTGGTGAGGCGTTTGTGACGACCAAAAAGGAAGAAAGGAGAAATGTGAGATGAAGAGGAGTAGGAGGAAATGAAAGTCAGAGCGATCGAAGAAGACCGCTTTATACTGGCCTCCCTTGGCTTGCCAGTTGTCTACATATGGCAACGGTTCTCGCCAGCTGTTGCGCTGTAAGTCAATGGCGGGTTGCCGAGAGCTGCCAGGAACCTGTAGAAACATATCATCAGGCTAATCTGGCTCGTAAGCATACCGACCTCCGTACTTTGCATTATGATTCCTTTTTTTTTTGTGTTGTTGTAGTTGTTGTTGTTCAAGCCTATCACCAATCTACCTGTATCTCTCCCAGCTCCCGAGCCATCGCCAGCTCTGGGCAACTTGGCCAATCCTCTCCAGCGCCCCCCTCACCCGACCATCAGGATCGTCATACTTGTGTCCTTCAAACTCGACGAAAAAAATATACTGGAAGGGTGCCAACAGACTTGGCCGGCTGTTGATACTTGTCAAGTTGAGATTAAATTCCCGAAAGCAGCCAAGAACATCGGCTAGGGCACCAGGAGAAGTATGCGGAACAGTAAAAGAGACAAGTGATTTGCTTCCCGACTTGGCAATCGACAGCTTTTGCAGATCCCAGTCGTCCGGCACTGAGGGATTCGTGCCAATGACAAGAAACCTAGTGGTGTTGTCCTCCCGATCTTCAATGTTTTTACCCAACAGGTCGAGACCGTACAGACTCAAAGCCAGGTGGTTGGATATGGCAGCCCACGTGCCAGTTTCATCTTGACTGACAATCTCAGCGGCTTTGCTGGTGGAGCTAACATCGATGATCTCCACGCCCTTGAGATAAGTGGAAATGAAGGCATTGCATTGTCCGAATGCTTGAGGGTGCGAGTAAAGCCGCTTGATATGGCTGAGACTGGTGAGGGGCTTCGACTTTGGCTTCGGTGGACTGGGATGCGTAGCAGTGGGCGTGCAAGTTCCAGAAGCTTCGTGGGTTTCATCTAGCTTGTCGTTGGGGCTCTTGCGGCCAAGCAGGCAGTGATGGACATCGACAAAGATTTCGCCGTCGACAGTGATGTCCTTGTATCGGCCATTCCGGTCGGCCAGGTTATCCAGGGTGAAGACCACGGATCCGTTGGTCGAGTTCTCGAAGGGCACTACGCCAGCAGTGACCCGACGATCCTGGACTTCATCAAAGACATCTATAGGGGTGGTTCAGAACAACTTGCATCACATCGCCAGGGGGGGGAGGATCAATGACGAGTCAGTCTATTGACACTCGGGCATTAAAACTTACCGTCTATGGTATTCACGGGTCTCAAGTCCCATTTGTCCTCTGGGAAAACCTGCCGAACCGCCTGTAGGAAAAAAGCAGTCAGCAAAACGTCGATCTTCCGTTGAGCCCTGGGCCTGGAAATTTACCTGGTGCGAGTAAGAGGCCACGGGGCCCAGAAAACTGACCACGGGCTCGTTGTGGGATGCCATGGTACGACGTGGTCGATGGATGGACCTTGACAGCAAAGGTTCCCACGACTGATGTTTGAGACGAGACGAAACCCAGGATCTTATGGCATAAGCTCAAATGAAACACAGATAACAGGAAGTCCCGGTAGAAGGTTGGAACGGCAAAGGTGCCCGTCAATCGACGTCAGTCGAAGTCAATCGAGCTTTCCAGGACTACACAGGTCTTGAGTCACACTTTGTGTTCATGTCGATGCCGTTCTCTGTGACGGATGATGATGGAGGATGCCAGCCGTCAAGTGGGCCTGGCGTGGACGGTACTAAGTTAGCAACAGGGCGGGCGAAGCCGGCGAACGAACCGTTAGAGAGGTACCGCCTGGACGGTGTAGGGCGTAAGCGGGGGACGACACCAACACAAAATGTGGAGCCGATAGTCATGACCTCGGAGCATGTTCGGATGGGAGCGGTTTAGAGTGGTATTTAACAGGTTGTATCACAGCATGGATGGCATTCATTGCAACGATGCTGACATCAGAGGGCCGTATTCTCTTGCGCTGGTTTGCGGATGAGCAAACGGTTTTGTTCCGACGACTGAGCCTCTCAAGTCCCCTTTGGGCGCTGAATTTAATCAGACGGGTAGCATTCTCGGTGTCGGATGCAACGCTGCCACGATGCCCATCTCTGACATGCGCGCGAGTTGCCAGGGGAGACCAACCCTCATCCAATGCTCCATTTGTGCTCCTGCCACTCTTTTCTCTTACAGCCCGTCTTCGGAAGCCATACTCTGATGACTGAAATGAAAGGAGCCATGTGCCAACGCACCAGTTGCCTCGAGATACCCTACACCACTCACGATTTCGTTGCCCCATCGGCTGCTTCATGTGGTTGCAACAATATAGACATGGTGGAGCGGGAATGACTCGGGAGCAGCCTTGTTCAACGTCCAAATTCGGACCATGAGAGGCCCAATTTCGGAACATGGCAAATGGCAAGGCGCAAAAGGCATACAGGAACCACCAAGTAGGCTGGTAGAGAACCGGAGAAACATGGGCATTTGACACACAATGACGTAATGGGCCACTGCAACTACTGCCCTGCCACGAAATATTGCCTCATCACACCAGCCGTGCGCGTTTCAGATACTGGAATCAACAGCAACAACGGAAAAAAAAAAAAGAAAAAAAAAAGGCCAAAAGCCATGGCCGTTGCAAAAGGACAACCGCCGGGCGGGATTGACCGTCGGCGCAAATGTTGACGTTGCTCGGCTGCCCTGAGTGGGAGATCTTGAAACACGGCGCCAAGCAGCTCGCGAACTGTGCGGCACATTCATGGTACTAGCTCGCCGGGTGGCCAGGGCCGTTCTCGGAAAAGTTTGATTTCCAGGGCGCCTTGCCGGAGCTGCCACCGATGCAGATGCAGATGTTCACGGGTGGTTAGGAAACAAAGTTTTAACGTGTTTGACGAGGCAAAATATCGACGCCCTCCCCTCACGAGGGCAGTGTGTCTGTGTGTGCATGCGAGACGCCGGCGTTGACTGTTTAGGCAGCCGGGAAACAAAACATTGGGAAAAAGGCCTAGAACGGTCTTCGTACACGGGTCCAAGAAAAAATTACATGCCCAAGTTGGAATTTGGAAAGACTGCCGTTTCCAAATAGGCGGTTTTGGCGAGGGTAGTATAAGTAAGTTATGTGGAGTGCAGTGAGAGGCGAGAGGTATTTGACTAAATCGGGCATCTCTGGCCATCGTGTTCCATGCTGCAATATACCACAGTATATCAGTCTGTACATACATACCTTCTTGATGGACAAATATGTTCCGTCACAAACTGTGATGTGAGAAGAGAAGCGATAACCGGCACTCACGTCACGCCCACCATAACTAGACCAGGGTAAGTTCGGAAAAAAAAAATTAAAAAAATATAAAAAATATTGCGGCTCAAGCACAAAGTTGTCTCGTGAATGGAGACTTTGCCCAGACAGAGGCTATTCTAACCATCCGAATATCTTCAGTTTCAGGCAATAAAAGTTTACTTTTAAAGTTCAATGGGACGTAACAGATGAGCATGGCCTGAGGCGGCGACGGGGTGTTCTCGATGGTGTTTGGATCACAACTCCATCTCAACTAGGCCAAAGAGTGAGTGAACAAAGAGTAGATAGTCGATATGTACAGTCACGGAAACTAGTTGCTGTTACTTTACCGTGCCAAACTTCCTCCCTACCAGCAACCAACCAGTCCGAACTGTCACCCGTGACCGCCTCAGCCTCGGTCAGCCTGCCCACATGAGCCCGATGCCGAAACGCTGCTGGTTTCATGTTATCCGAGCTAGCAGCCAATCATGCGCAGAGCTGCCCCTGATCGGGCTCGCGGAGCGGGGCAGGCGCTTTTTAAGCGGGGACAGGGGTCTTGACACTACATAATAGTGGGGCGCTTCCAACGTGGTGGTCCTTTTTGCCATGTGCAGAAGGCAGCATCGCGAAAGTTTGAGCAAGAATCCTCTCACTCGACAGACACACACGGGGGAGGGGCAAAGGGGAGGGGAAAAAAAAAAAGAAAACAGTCAAGAATGGTGTCACATTGCGAACGACTGGTCGCCAATGACTTGCTGAGTTTCCTGGGTATCCTGCAGGCGTCAGAAAGGAGGGGGAAGAGGGCCATGGCAGCAATCAAAGCGACAGGACCAAGTGGCTGGGCCTCTGGACAAAGAGACAGAACTTGAGGCGTCTCGTGTCTGTGTGTGCTTGAGGGCGTGGTGATGCCGTATGACATTGACTGTTTATTTCGCAAGACCAGAGTATGTATGTACAACAGACCGCCCATACGAGTGTGGCATGGCATGGCATCTGTGACTATTACCGGGGGAACTGCCACGAGAAGGCTGGCGATGCGAACGGCTGGTGTTTTTTTTTAGAACAACCTTAGAACAGCCATACCCTGGTCTTCTTGAAGCAGGGCCATGGCCACAAGCTTGCCTCGTGCACTTTAAGCATTACGGAGCGCCTTCGTATTGTATCTTCATCTGAAATTGCCCTCTCGCGAGCCAGATACGGCAGTCAGCCCAAGCAAGGGTCCTCCCGGCACAACCACGTCACTGCGGCTTCTGTTTTTTGCCTTGGCATTGTATCCTGAGCAGCCAAAAGCGGAGAGCTTGCTCGAATCCGGGGTTGGTAAAGGCAAAATGAAGTCTGTTGAATGCACGAGCGTCGCGAGCACCCAAGCAGCCAAGCAAGACGTTTGGACGTTGCATGAACCATAGGCGGTAGTATTGTCAAAATTTAACTTTGCAGTCATTTCTTCTTCTCATGAAACTGGCCTAATCGAGGCTTGCGCATCTCCAAGGCCGGATGGGAGTTCAGTTTGGTCGTGGAGGATCAAGTGACCAGCCCAGGTTGATATTGCTGTTCATGCGTCATGCGCCCATCTCTGGGCGATGGCATACATATGTATTGCAATGACAGGCTGGCAAAGAACAACGGGTCCGCTCCGTAATATATGTATGTATCAGTGATTCCATAACGGCGGTACTCCGTACATCAGGATTGATGATGCGCATTGCAACCATGGTGATGAGCATTGTGCATGGCTCGAATGCGACAACCGGATGTCTGGGCCAAAGGGCTGCGCGGAGAGCCGAGGTGGTCGTATTGAGCTGGAGACGCCTGATACCTGTCATGGCGTTGCCTGCCAGATTTTACATTGTATGTACACAGGGAGTTTTTCACCGACATTTGCTGGTGACCTGTAACGGGATGCGTGGGTTGAAGCATGTATGTAGCCGAAAGCCACGATGAGATCTCAGCCGAGTTGCCGTGGACATTTTTAGCTTGCAGCCACGCACGAACGAGTCTGGCTGTCCACCGTCTTCCGACACGCCACAAAGATTCATCTAACCGGAGAGGGAAAAAATCTTGTTTGTATGCGTGTTTTTGGGCAAGAGATCATGATGATAAGGCGATTCCAGGTCTGGAGTCTTGCCGTGGTGCCCGTTCGCGCTGGCGAGTTTCAACTTTGCCGCCAGCCCACGGCGATGGCTTCAATGTTCCATGTCTGAGCTGCCGCCACTGATACATCTGCGACAGGGGTTGTGGAGGCCCAGCCAGGGCAGCTTGAGCGGTGAAATTGCAGGGATGGAGAGCTTCAGGGCCGGACCTGGTGTCTCGTGGTTGTCGGCCGCCCCCAAGGAGCCGTCAAGGACTGGCCAGACTTCGCGCAGCACAGGCACTCAGACGCCCATCGGCCTCCACCCCGTCGGGGGGCTCGGGCGCGGCCCTGCAATCGAATTGCTCGACACCGGGACCCTTTCTGCTGGAACAGACCCCTGTCGCATGGTGTTTTGCATCATGTTTGCTGCTCTGCACTCTTGGCCATCTGAGCATCGTGGCTGCATCAGCCGGAGCGCTGAGTGGACCAGGCTGGCCAGGCTAGCAGACTCTCAGGCTCCTCAGGCGCTCCAGTCACTCCAGTCTGGTCACTCCAGGTCGGGCGATCAGTTGATGTCAGCGCTGCCACTTGCCGTCACAAACACTGAAAGTGACATGGACATGGACAAAGAGGGCAACGCTGGCGACAGAAGACTGGAGCCCCCCCGGTCGCCCGTCGCCCACCCCCGTTTTCCCGCCTCCAGCAGCACCGTCCTTTCAAATATTATTCAGCTAGAGCCCCCCTCCCACTCGCCCTCATCTAGACTAGACTGCCCAGGTCAACCACTTCGTCCTCGAGTGCTGACGACCGCCTCCTGAAGTCGGTTATATATCGCCAGGCACCTTCAAGTCGTCGACTTGTCGTGCTGGGAAGACATCTGCTTCTGTGCGCGCTGTTTCCGAGTCTCTGCCGGCACAGAAGCTTGGGCAGACGCAACAACGGACCAGTCGACTCGACGTGGAGTTGCCCGCCGTCTTTGAGGCCATCATCCCCACGAACGTGAACGTCGCCGTCGCCGCTCGACGGGCCGTACAACCATCGACACGCACTCGGAACACATCTAGTATTTTACCACCGCTCGCCCACCCTACTGCTCCTTAATTTACGCATTAATAATTACATCATGGCGATGCTCTCGTCAAAATCGCCTTTCCCGGCCGCCCTCAGCACCTCGAATCTTGCTCCCGGCTCCAACCTGCAATCTGCCTTGCCCACCTCGAGAAGACTGCCCGCCATGTCGAGCAGCGCCCAGAACTACGCCAGCCCAACCGAGTCTGAGTTCTCCGAGACCGACGGTGCTGATTCCGTGAAGCACTGGGACGAGGACCACGTGTGCGAATATCTCCGAAGCGTCAAGTGCGGGGACTACGAGAAGATTTTCCGCAAGAATCACATCAATGGAGAGAATCTTTTGGAAATGGACAAGGAAGTGTTGAAGGAGATGGGAATTGACAAGGTCGGCGATCGAGTCCGCCTCTTCCTGTGCATCAAGAAGCTGCGCACCAAGACATATGCGAACCAGAAGAAGCGCAATAGGGTGAGTTGAAAGTGAAGGAAACAAGCAAACGCCTGCCGCGGCTTTGCCAGCTGGCTGACAATCCCCTCTTCTCTTTTCTTTCTTTACAGGACTCGTTCTCCGGTCTCGATGCCTACGCTTCTTTCCCTTCCACCAGCATTGCTGCCCAGACTTCGTCGTTGCCTCGCTCATCCGCTCCCTCATCCATCAACCGACGATACTCGCGGCAGATTGATGTGCCCGCTCCCTTGGAAACTGGTGAGTTGACAAAGCATGACCGACGGATGACGTTCTCCTTGAGCCAACATGCCCATCGACTGACTGCAAAGCACCCATAGCTCGGCAAGCTCGATTCCCTGCTGGTGTAGGCTACGTCAGCAGCGTTGGCCAGAGCCAGCCTTCAAGGCCCCAAGCATCGACTTCGGACCTTCCCACTTCCCGCTTGGTACCTACCCACACCAGAAACAATTCCAGCATGGATGGCTCGCTGATGGCTGCGTTGCCCCAGGGCCAAGATGTTATCCGCGTCATTTCTACCGGCGGCGTTACCAAAGTGGTCAAGATTGCTGATTGCAACACTTGCGAAGACGTCATGCGCGTTACCCTTCGAAAGTTTGCCCTCCGCGAAGATCACGAGCGCAACTATTGCTTCTGGGTCCTGACGGGCATTGACCCCGATCCTACTCAGTGTAGACGGCTAGGCGATACCGAGTTGTGGCGCATCATCAAGGACCAGCGCCGACCCGAGCGCAATCGCTTGATTCTACGACGAGTGCCTGCTGGCGAGCCCGGTGAGTCGGAGCTGCAGCGCGCTGCCGCTATTGCCATGGAGGAAGAGCAGCAAAAGCATACCAAGGCTATCGAATCAGTAGACAAGAGAAGCCAGCTCAAGGTCCAGAAACTTCTGGGGGAAAACTGGGACGACCAGTTACAACAGCCTTTATCCCCCGTATTCTTCCAGCACCAAGATCGATCCCTTCCCCACGAGATTCACAGAGATGCGGACAGGACTCCTCTAGCTGACGATGCGCGAGCTGCACAGCGTCGCAAGGATGGCCTTCGTCAGTTTGGTGGACTGCGACCTCCCAGTGAACTCATCGCCTCTGATTTGACCTCGTACTTTCCGGATCACCGCCGGGAGGACATTGACCGGACTGCTCGTCTTTCCATGAGGCGGTCGACCAGGCTGAGCAAGGTCAACAGTCGTCTCAGTGTTGCAAGTAGCATCAGCTTGGCCTCGAGCGTGCAAGATGCCCCTCCAATCCCGACAATTGCCGACTCGTGGCTAAGCGGTGCTGCTCACGTTGCCAAGGTCCGAACACGCGACTCCCATGGACGGATCCCCGGCATCTACAATAGAGATTCTTTTGCCTCGTCCACCTTGGATACCCTCCAGGAGGAATCACCCATGGAGCCGGACCGAAAGTCGTATGTATCCTTCACCGAGAGTGGAGACGATACTACTGTCGATTCCACTGCCGTCAGCGTCACCGACCCTGATGGCAACACTGCCATTACGAGCTACTACGAAGGTGACGGATCTACGGGGTCTGGCTCCTTTAATGAGTCTATTCGGCAAGCTCTTTCAAATGACGGCGATGAACTTGACGAGGAGCTGGAAAGCTTTCTGTCTGGGGACTCGTGGGATGACAATCAGTGGATGAAGGGAGCTCTCATCGGCAAGGGCTCATTTGGATCGGTTTATCTGGCTCTCCATGCCGTGACTGGTGAACTCCTTGCTGTGAAGCAAGTCCAGATGCCTGCCCCGGGAGCAACTGGACAGAGCGAGACTCGCAAGAGGAGCATGATTGAGGCGCTCAACCGCGAGATGAACTTGCTTCGTGACTTGCGCCACCCCAACATTGTGCAGTACCTCGGCTGCAGCTCGTCGTCGGACCATCTTAACATTTTCCTCGAGTACGTCCCAGGCGGCTCCGTTCAGACGATGCTGAATTCATACGGAGCCTTGCCTGAGCCCCTGGTGCGCAGTTTTGTTCGCCAAATCTTGATGGGCTTGTCGTATCTCCACGGCCGAGACATTATTCACCGCGACATCAAGGGCGCGAACATCCTGGTGGACAACAAAGGCACCATCAAGATATCGGATTTCGGCATTTCCAAGAAGCTAGAGCAGTCCAACATCCTGGGCAATGCCAAGAACAATCGTCACCGGCCATCGCTGCAGGGATCTGTATTCTGGATGGCACCCGAGGTTGTCAAGCAGACAGAGTATACGCTCAAGGCTGACATCTGGTCACTCGGCTGCCTTGTTGTAGAAATGATGACGGGCAACCACCCTTTCCCCGACTGCAGTCAGCTGCAGGCCATTTTCAAGATTGGAGGCGGAACAGCATCCCCGACAATCCCTGAGCACGCTAGCGAGGAGGCCAAGGCATTCCTTCGTCAGACTTTCGAGCTCAATCACGACTTGCGACCCAGTGCTGACGAGCTCATGCTCAGTCCGTTTCTCTCGCACATGACCTAGACGACAATTCCTGGCAGCTTGCCACTTCTCAATTGTCTTATTACTATTTACATTGGCCGACTTGGGCAGGTACCATAGCGCGTGTCTTTTTTTTTTTTTCTTTTCCGTTTGGTTTGATAGAATACAAAAGATCTTGGAAGAACGGCAAAGTGGACGCATGGATTTTGAGATTACAGGAGCATTTTGAAGACGCATGCGACATGTCTGGCAAGGCGTTTTGTGTTTTGTGATACACATAGCTAATGAGGGAAAAGGAAGAAGGGGAGGGGGGTTGGTGGTTGGCTCATGATATCAAGAGTTTGTATAATAGGAATAAACAGCGAATGAATCAACGATTCGACCAAGAACTGACTGGGTTCAAGCCGTGCCGCAGCAACCAAGGTGCCTATGCTCAATGCCCGGGGAGTCTACTGGGCGTACATACAAAGATGTGCATTCCGATTTCGCAATGGTCTGGATTGAATGAGGCTCAACGCTGGGTGGTGTGTGAAATGTCGAGTCGTTGCCTTGGCTCGAGTTTATCCACTTTGGGCACTGCACTGCCTTTATGACCGACTTTATGACACGCCGGAACGACTAATTGGTATTTTGTGGCCCATCGGCGCCGTGGCCAGCTGTCTGCTGCCTTGGATGGCTTGCCTAGCGCCTGGCCTGCATGTGCACATGTCTAGTGAGCCTCACTTTGGCCCTTTGGGCTGTCATACTTCAAACTCGGGGCTCGTCAGGCCGCTTCCTTTCCCCCTTCTCCTCGCGCCGCCGTCGTCAAGTCAAACGCAGCAACCGGGGGCCAATATATATACATACTTACCTTAAGTACTTAGGTATGTACAGTACATTGCACTCCGTATCCGGTTGATATTACCACCAGCTTTGCTCACCAAATACTAGTCATTAAGGATCAAAGCAATTTCCCTTTTCCCGCAGGACCCCCGTCCGATCATCTGCGTACCAGACAACACTGAACAGTCCAGTCCCCACGTCTCGTGTCTGGCGCTTGGCAAGGTTGGCAGCCGCCGAGCCTCAAACCTAGTCCCCCCTGGTGGCGGCATAGCATCACCACCCTGAATTTCACGTCGGCCGAAAATAAAAAACACCACCACACGGCGCGGAATGCCGCCCAAACGGGAAGACAGCCAGCTGTCGCAGGACAGCGCCATGACAGTCACGCCCGAAGACCGGCACGAGATACTGTACTTTGCGTACGGGAGCAACCTGTCGACGGCGCAGATGCGGCAGCGCTGCCCGTACTCGACGCCCATAGGGCTAGGACACCTCGACGGGTGGACGTGGCTCGTCAACGAGAGGGGCTACGCCAACGTCGTGAGGGCCTCGTCGGGCGGCGGCGGCGGCGGCGGGGGGCGGCGGCGGCGGCGGCGGCTGCGGCGTCTACGGGCTCTTGTACCTGCTGCCGCCGCAGGACGAGGAGCGGCTCGACGCGTACGAGGGCGTGCCGTGGGCGTACGAGAAGACGACGTGCGACGCGCGCTGGGTGAGGGACGCGCAGGGCAGGGTGCTGGACGAGCCCGTCAGGGCGTTGGTGTACGTGGACAAGAGCCGGGTGCGGGAGAGCGCGCCCAGGGACGAGTACGTCGAGAGGATGGAGAGGGGCATCGAGGATGCCGTGGACAATTGGGGCCTGGATAGGGAGTATGCTGATGGCGTCATGAGGAGGTTCTGGAAGTGAGGCTGGGCTGGGCTGGGCGGAAGGCTGCTACTCGAGATACGTACTGGTGTGCGCTACGTGGGAGAAAGGGGAAGCAGGGTTCGGCACATTGTTGTACTACTTGGATGAGACGGAAAGGTTGGTTGGGTTTCCATGGGACGCGGCATATGTATGTCGAGTGAACCCCGCAATTTACGAGATACGCACTTTGAGCCTCATCGGATATTGTACGTTGGGGACTAGAAATATAGATTTCATTCCTAGCTGTTACAAAATGAAAACTTGTATTCCAATTTCCGTGCCTCTTAACGCCAGCTCGCTGTCAACGTCACCAACGCTTCGGCTACCAAATATTCAGATCCGGCCCGAATACTCGGTCAACGAAAAAAAGCACCGTGTATCCAGCAACCGGCTCTCAAGACAAGCCAAAGGCGGCCATGGCCCGTTGCAAGTAGGTCGTCCTTTCTCCAGCGGGGTCGACGCCGACGCACTTCATGTACGTCGCGAAGCCTTCGGTGATATTCTTCTGCAGGTCGGTTCTGGATTCGGGCAGGCACTTGGTGGTGTAGAACCACGCGGCGCTGCCAAAGTTGAACTTGTCGACGGTAACCAGGGACAAGATGTAGTCCAAGGTGGCGTTGGAGGCGCCCTCGACGGTGGTGATGTTGGCAACCTTACCCTTGAGGCAGGGGATGGACTTGGCATACTCCAAGTTGAAGCTGGCCATCTGCATGTTGGCGGTGCCCTGTCCCCGACGACCGGGGAACACGTTGTGCTTGAAGGTGAAGTTGCCAGACTCCAAGGCCATGAGGGATACGATGGCGGCTATCTCGTTGGTGTTGTTGATGCGGTAGCGGGCCATGGACTTCTCGATGAAGGGAGCGGCCTGCGCGGGAGTGCGGCAGTCGTCGCTCTTGCCGTCGCACTTTTGGTCGGGCATCATCTTGGTGAGGGTTTCGGCACTGATTTTGGCAGGCTCCTCGGTGGCCGCGTTGGCCAGGGCCGCCAGGGCCATGATGACGGGAGCCGAGAAACGCATGGTGGGCTGAAGTTTCAAGAGTATATTATATAGAGAGAGTGTCGGGTAGGATTTGGGAAGATGGAAGAGCGTAAAAAGAAGAGAATGAGAGTCAACGGTTCCCGAGAAGGGGTCTGGTGGGATTTCAAGACGTGTATATATGCAAAGCGAGGTCTACTTGACGATGGGACCGAACAAAAAGCTGGAAATGTCAGAAACCAAGAAACGGCGCGAAACAAGGACGAGACAGGAGGGCGTGCCGGCGTGAGGGTTCAAACACGACGACATCAAAGACGCAGGCAGGCCGTGGCGTATTTGTACAATAAGCAGTCGTCGGCGCTTCCTTGTTGAATACTCGGTACACATGCTGCAGATCCGGCTTTTGGCCGATTGAGCTTCTTGGCGTCCCATTCATGGGTAAGGGGGCGACGAGAGACCACATGCTGGCACATGGGACAGCATTGTGCGCGAGTGAATAGGCTGCTGAGCGGCGTGGGCTCCTGAACAATGCGACGATGGGTCGGTTCGTGGAAGCTGAGGACCAACCATTGTGGGCGTGGACGAGGTGATGAAACAGGAGAATCGAGGGAAGTGGACATCTGGATGATTTTTGGAGGCCCATTGACGGCTCTTGCGGCGGGGCGACCATGTGGGGGTTGCACAAGACAGCATTTGACACTACATGCGGTCTCGTATATATGAGTTGTAGGGGTAAATACTAGTAGTATGTACTTGCTCTGTATACTTTCTGTTCCCGGCAGAAAGGGCAGGCGGTAGTTGAATACTCGGTGCAGTAAGCGCGAATGGGCTTCTACGATGGCAAGGGTCAAAAGTGACGTGACTTGCTGGGAATATTTTGGCGCAACGCCTTGTATGTATAATGTCGGGTGTTTGTGCCATGGTAGCTGCATCTGCGGTAGGCGGGTGTTTGTTTCGGCGTCAAGGGTTGAACACGCGGCTGAGCCTGCAGCGAATGGTGAGTGGTGAGTGGTGAGCAGTGAATGGTGAGCAGTAAGCTGTGAGTGAGTGGTGAGTGAGTCTTTTTTTTGCGTGTGTGTGTGTGTGTGTGTCTCAGCTGTGAAAGCGCTGCTGGGCTGACCAACAGCGCGTGAGCAGCGTGCATCTTGTCGATTGTCACGGAACCAAAGTGACTAGTCTGCTGCAGAACTTGGCTCGACTTAATGGCGTTTCATTTCAATTAGAGACGGGGGAGGAACTCTCTTGGGCTCGCGGGCATGTACTCTGTACAGAGCGTGCATGAATTTCTCGGTGGCTGTGTGTGATTGACGGACGAGTGGACATCCTTCCTTCATCTTTTCTTGATTTGACCAGCATCCGTCGCCCAGAGGTCGAGTCCTGCATGAGAACCTCGAAAATAGAGCATTGGCGACGAATGAAGAATATCTTGCATGCACATGTCTCACTTTGAGCGCCCGCGTCCTGTGTGAGAAATAGTACATTTGAAATCAATTGGTAAGGCTGTGGCTGCGGGCCCCTAATTTTACACACTTGGTCTGCATAAGAAATGTAAAATTGCAGGGTTAACAGTGAACTAGGAATACGTATAACCTATTACGTACTAATGGAGTAGTTACTCCGTGGTATCTATGTATTCTCCCCCTAATTTCGCAGGCCTTTATTGCCTGTGGATGTCCTGCATCAACTACCAATCGTGAAAGTAAAGTGTGCGCCGAGTCACCATCTTTGTATTCTTTCATCTGGAAATAGCACAACTGCAGCGCGTGAGAGGCTACACAAAGCGCCAAAACTTCCATGTGCCTCACCCAAATGCCAGCGTCATCTCGTCTCACGCGTTTCGCATCTTAATGTCGCGGAGCAGCGGCATAAATGTGACCCGGAAAATGCGGAATAATCCGCGGCGCCAGTCGTCTGGGCAATATCCGTCACGCAACTCATGACTCGCTGTATTCGCCGCAGACGGACCCAACTGTCCATGGCAGACTATACTCTTCTACGCATTAGCAAGTACCCATCATTGCCCTATTGCACCAAAGCATAGCATTGATAGTAGAACACGCTACCGTTTGCCGCCGACAGGCTAAACACCCGTGACTCCGTGACCGGACTCTTCGCATCGCGACTTACATATACCGACTCGGTTCCGACATCCGCGGCCCACTTCGGCTCCATGCATCCATGGCCGACACCCGGCCGAACCTCAACTTCAACCTCGAGCTCCGGCCTCACCTCGCGAGTCACGACACGCGCGCACCAGAACCATGCCGCCTTCCGACATGCGCGCTCTGCGCACTCTCTGTAGAGCGCGGCCCCCGGCGACCTCCCCGCGCAGCCGCAGGCCCTGGCGCCAAACAGCCTCCAACGCCGCATTTTCTCACCGCAGCTTCCCCGCGTGGTTCGTCCGCGGCGGCACATCCAACGGCCTCGTCATCCGCCGCCAAGACCTGCCCCCGGAGGACGAGTGGCCTTCCGTCCTCCCCTCCGCCATGGGGTCCCCCGACCCCGACTTTGGCCGCCAGCTGAACGGCATGGGCTCCGGGCAGTCGTCTACGTCCAAGGTGGTCGTGCTCGGCGCGCCGTCCCGCGCCGGCGCCGACGTCGACTATACCTTTGTGCAGGTCGGGATCCGCGACGGCGCGCTCGACAAGGCCGGCAACTGCGGCAACATGTCGGCCATCGTCGGCCCCGCGGCCTGGGACCAGGGCCTCGTCGGGCCCGACACCGTGTCGGCGCCCGTCGAGACGGACCGCCACGGCCGCCGCTGGGCCACGGTGCGCGTCTTCAACACCAACACGTCCAAGCTCGTCGTCTCGCGCTTCCGAGTGTCCGGCTCCCCGGCCAGGTACGCCCCCGAGGGCGAGTACGTCATGGACGGCGTGCCGGGCGCCGGGTCCGTCGTCACCCTGAGCTTCGTGGACCCGGCCGGCGCCAAGACGGGCAGGGCGCTGCCCACCGGCGCGCCCGTCGACACGCTGCGGTTGCCGGGTGGGAGCCGGGTGCGCGCGTCGCTGGTGGACGTGGGCAACCCGGGCGTCTTCGTGTCCACCCACGGCCTGGGGCTCGACCGGGCCGCCGCGTCGGCGCTCACGCCCGCGGCGATCGAGGCGGATGCCGCGCTCAAGGCGCGCCTGGAGCAGATTCGGCGCGCTGGGGCGGCCAGAATGAGCCTTGACCCCGACGTCGAGAGCGTGCCCAAGATCGTCCTCCTCTTCCCCGGGGGCGATACCCCGGACGGCGTCGACATTCGATGCGTCGCCATGTCCATGGGCCAGGCGCACAAGGCCGTGCCGTTGACCTTGGCGCTGTGCCTGGGGGCGTCGGCGCGGATTCCGGGCACTCTCGCTGCGGATTTGGTTGCCGCGAGACCGGGCGGGATGAGAGACGACGCCGTGACTATTGCGCACCCGAGCGGCAAGCTCGACGTGGGCACCGAGGTGGAGGACGGCAAGATCTTGTCGGCCAAGTTGCTGCGCACGGCGAGGGTCCTGATGAAGGGCGACGTGTACTACTAGATGTACCCAACATGGAAATTTTCACTGGGGGGCGCGGATCAAATGAAGTGAGAAAATGGGGTTTTACATCAAGCCTAGTGTCATTTCGAGTGTAACGCCCCACGTACGCCTATGCTCGCCACGCCGCATCACAACTCGCGAAATTTCATACTCCTGTTTCCCCTACCAGCTAACCCGTATCAAGAAAACGCGTCACTCAGATAGGGCAGTTATCCACATTCTCCTGCCATGCAAGCTTGGCATACGGCAACATGATATCTTGAGACGTAAACGTACAGTTGATGTAGCAATGGACCATATCAGCAGTAAAACCTGCACCGAGGTCTGCAAGCACATGGCTCTGGATACTATCATACGGTTAGCACACGGCGAAATGCAAATCGCAATGTTTGGCTACATACAAATCGAAGAAGATGAGATCAACTTTGTCAGGGTTGCTGCCGTCCTTGGGAAATGACGCGCGAGCCTCCCA